AAGGGGGAGTTGTTGTTGTAGTATATAATATACCATGGTAAGTGTCGTATATGTGTGACAGCGCTGTATTGATAACCAGCCAATTGGTTGACATCGTTCACCACAAACCTGATGGTCGCCTCAGACCGACCCCTCTCTGTAAATATCAATACAATAATTGTATTTTTATTGTGTATTTATTTAGTGAACACCACTTATAGTGTACTCTATATATAGTGGACGGTATGGCACGCAATACATACCGTCTTCAGTGTGACCGCCGATCACATCCATTGTCTTATCGTTAGTGTTAAGTGTCTGTCCTTTCCTTCAAATATTAAGCCAATCGTATGGACACTAATAATAATAATTATTGAATGTTAGGATCAGTTAAAGTGATAAACAAATGGGCAAACAATGCGGTGATTATTGTTTTAAATTTCAACATTTGAAATAACGGAAAAAAACAAGTCTCACAACCAATAGAAACGCGTAAACGTTTTTGCAAATGATTTGCATATGAAAGGCATCACACGATTGGCTAAACCCCTAACACTCAAATGCAAGCGCTGTATAACTTAATTATTTAAAGTTTAGTAAATAAAGTATTATAAATGTTTAAAAATCAAATTTTATTGAATATAATTTGACATTTGAAATGATGGCCGGAAACTGAACCAATCACTCAATCACTGGCTGTCTCGTCGGCGATGGTCTGGCGGACAGTCATAAGAGTGTTGCCCAAGAAGTTGTCGCCATATTTATGCCATTCAAGCGGTTTCTCGATGTCCTTATGATAGGCGCCGATACCAATGCCCCACAGTTTGTCCCGATAGCGGACCCGACCGGTCGGCTCTTGAATAGCGATTTCGGCCAAAACGGCTGAACCGGTCGACAGTAACCACTCTTTGAGCGCCGAGTTTTGCGTAAACTTTTCGTAAAGTATTTTCGGCACCTTTTGGTCCCTCACTTCCGCCCACTTCTTGGGCACAAACGGCTTCACCTTTCGGCCCAACCTCTTGGCCATTACGGGTGTCTTACAGTCGAGCACTTTATCGGCGCTGATTTGGTCGCCAAAAGTGATGGCCTTTTCGTACATAATAGCGCACTCGGAGTACTCGAAGTGGTGTCCACTGTATGTGAAGCTAGTCTTGTAAAAGTTGGACAGAGGGCTGGCTTTTGAGATACCGCCGTAACCTATGATCCGGTCATCGCTTGAATACACGTACACTTCGTTAGCCTTCCTCTCGATTCTGTTCATTATTATTATATTCTTGTCGTTATTCTCATATGAAATATGTGTTGAGTTTTAATGTGTTATACAATGTTATGCAGTGTTTTAGTCGTTTGCCAAACGTTATGACTTGTGTTTGCGTTCGCTCTCTATTGCCATCACTTGCTATGTCATAACAACCCATAGAGAGTACTGTTGTACTGATGGGTAGTTGTTATACATGTTTATTATGTAATATTATTAATTGCACAGAGAAAGAGTTGAGGGCACCTGTAGTTTGCATTCAACATGTATTTAACCGATTGCTAGTAAAACACCTTTTAATCAAATGAAGGCTCTCTTTATGTAAATATAGTTAATTTGGTGGAAATATTCCTGTTTTCCATCAATTGCTGTAAACCCAAACTTTTCATTGAATTCAATGGAATTCTTCATAACGTTAACAACAGTTTATTTATTTCAAATGTTTTACAGGAATTATAATTCAAACAATTAGTAAATGAAAGCATTTATATCAACCATATTTTCAGGCATATCGCACTTTTTTACGCGAACTTTCAATTGTCTTATCAAACATATCAGTGAATCCATTGATCGGTGGGATCCCAGATGGAGGGCGTGTGGCCGGGAGTGCGAGACCCGTCGTGCAGAGGCGTATTGGCCCCGCCATACGTTGGCGTACGACTGCCGGTGCCGTACATCGGGGTCTGACTGCCATACATGGGTGTGTTTCGGCCGTATGTGTAAACACCACCGCTGGCGCCCTTTTCGCCGCCACCGCTGCCCACAACTACGATACGTGTCTTATCTACAGTAATCGTCTGACACTTGGCGTGCAGTTCGACGTGAGCTATGGTCCCGATGGCGTCCTTCACGATACCGATGTATCCCTTATACGTTCCCTGAGTTATCTTAATTGTCTTCCCGATCAGTTCCAGATCCAATCGGTCGCGACCGCCCTTCGCGTTCATTCCCCGACCGCCGCCACCGCCTCTACCTCTCGACGGGTGTGCGGGTGAGGCCGCTATGCGGGGAGACATATACCCGGTGCTGGTGTTCATAACGCGAGAGGCCGACAGAGGTCTGGAACCGCCGGCGAGTATCAAATGTCGTGTTTTGCAGACAAATATACCGCCGTTTTCTGACATCATTCGCGAGTAGAGAAACGCCGAGTTTTGGTACAAGTGTTTAATCTCTCCCTGACGTCCGGAGTGCGGGCCGTCTATCACTTTCACGTAATCTTTCACTTGGATTTGGTTCTGTTCGGAGTCGAGAGCCACCGCTCGCCGAGAGTCGCGCTTCTTAGACACCGCCTGATGTTTGACGTGAACTAACTTTCCGTTTTGGTTCAGTACCTGAAAGTTCTCCTTCTCGAGCCGTACGATCACACCGACAGTCTGTGCGTCCATTTGTACTAAATCTCCCGATTGGAAGTGACCCAACGTGTCCACACCCGTCGCCATATCGGCGCACAGTTGCAAGTCTTTGGGCAATACCTTCAGCTCATCCGTCGTTAGGTCGGAGACGATTACGATCTGCGAGTCCTCTACGAGTACGATAAGTCCGGTGTTGCCCTCATAGCGACCGGCGATTACTTTCACGTAATCACCCGTTTCGAAGTACTTCCGGAGTTCATGCGCCTGAAAGTCGAGCGGATCCGTGAGGTCTTCGTGGCGCGGAATCATCGTTATCTTATTGCCATCGATGGTAATGATCTTTCCCAGGAGGTGAGCCAACTCTCCTTCGCATACCTCGACGGTATCGCCGGGTGAGAAGCTGTGGCCCTTGTCTTCGGCGATCGTACTCTCGCTGAGCTGTAGTTCAATGCCTTCCGGGTGTTCCTCAAACTTCTCCAACTCGGAGAGCGTGGGCTTCACGCCGTCGATCAGCAGCGCTGTCGTTGTGAACGCTTTGTACAGAAAGCCCCGACGGTATCGATTGCTCTCGAAGATAATGAAGTCCCCATCGTTGGTCACTTCGCCACCGATCGCACGAATCGCGTCCATATCGAAGAGCTTCGGCAGCGGACGCTTCTGGCGCTTACGCTTCAGACTGTCGTTCTCGTTGGTCGCGGCCCTCAACGCACCCCTCAGTCGCGTGTAGTCTATGCGGGGAATGAGCTTCAGGTGGACCTGATTCTGGGCGGTGTCCACGTAATCCACTTGTCCCAAGTCGTCCTTATAGAGGCCCCTCTTGAGGCGCACCCATTGGTTCACTTTGATCTGTTGGTTGTCTTTCGTGACGCGCAACACATCCGTCATCTCATTGATGGGAACCATTGTCTGCCTATAAATGCCGAGCCGTAAGTTTCCCATCCCTTGAATCGCTTGCTTGACGTGAGTTTGTTTGAAGGCCTCGATATAGATATAGCCTTTGATTCCTATATAACATTGCAATCAATAAAA